CAAGTGTAAACGGGTGCACGAAACATCGTGATTTTAGGAAATGAGGTATTTGACAGTATATATGCGCCTTCTCTCTCTCTTTCTATTTATCTCTCTCTCTCTCTGTTTGTCTCTCTCACTGTCTTTCTATCTTTCTCTGTCTATCCCTCTCTTTCTCTTTGTCTATCTCTCTCTCTCTCTCTCTTTCTATCTATCTCTCTCACTGTCTTTCTCTCTCTCTCTCTCTCTTGTCTCACTAGCTCCCTCTCTCTCACACACTCTCTTAATCTTCCTTTTGTTTGTTAAACAACAATGATCTCGATCTTGATAATGACGATGATGATGTTATACTGATGATGATTATAGTGGTAATGCTAGCATTATAGAGTTCAAAACTGCAATAATACTAAAAGGAGGGTGATTTAGGCAATAAAATGTCTTAAAAAGGCAAACTATGATATTAATTAGAATGAAAAGAAGAAAAAAAAATAACCAAAAGTAATATGCACTTGATAATTCCAGTACATTTCTGGCAATTTCGTCATTTCTAATTATGATATTATCAAATCGGCCATGCCCGCAATGACGTCAAATGCGTCATCAAGCCACGTGACTGTATTGCCTTTTTTCGAGGGGCAGTAGCCTGGCAAGCATGAGAACTGAAAAATGGATGGTTATTATCAATTTAGAGATTTTCTGAAAAATCAGAGGCTGGCATATTAATAAGTAGAGGTGTATTCATGTTTTGAAAGGCTATGTTAGTGGCCCTTTAATTGCCTTTTTTCAGAAACAAAGGAAGAATGAGTGAATGAAAACTAATGTAATTGGAGCATTAATTTAGAAACTAATTTTGATATTAATGTATGTATACTGTCCAATAGAAGATTAATGTTCATTTAAAGTAGAAAAGAAGATATTGAGTAAAAAGTATAAAAAAAGTATATAAATTATACTACTAGGATATACATATTAAAGTCTTTTCTCTGGATGGACTGAATCAAGTGTGTGTGATCATGTTCATACTTTACCCACTGTGTACTCGCTATGACGTATAGGTGGGCTCTTTGATAACAAGGTTTGAGGTAAAAAATTAGTTGAAACTAAGGTTCTCTAAAATAATGAGTTTGATACAACAAAACTGACCAATGACAACAAGATTCGTCCCTTTTATGGTCTCATTTATTTTGTTCTGGGTTATATCACTCTCTTTGATAAAAGTTGCCACTTTCAATTAAGATAATTATTAGTAGAAATAATCAATTAGAAAAAGAACATAAAATTGGTCACCATTTATAATTAATATTTTCTAATAACTGCTGTCGGCAGAGATTACATTTTTGATTAAAATTATATAATAATAATAATAATAATAATAATTTATTATTTTCATCAGACACAAAGCGCATAAACAAAAACACAATTACAAAAAGAGACAACATTATCATACGAAGCTTACATTAAAGGGACTTGGTAACATTGTTCAGATGAGAGATAGTGGTGCTAAGGTAGTGACTTCAATGTTAGATGTACAATTAAAGATAATCTGACAATTTGAGTGAAAACGGACAATTATTCATGATACAAATTGGGAAAAACTGATCTGATCGATTCCTTAATTCTCCCAACTATATTATTACAATTTAATTACATTTAGGTGAATGGAAATCTCACGAAGCAATAAAATGGCTCTACATTCCATTCCAGACATTTAAGTGTTGACAGATTTTTTATAGCCTGTTTTATGTCTTTTTTCATGGAAAAAACGGTTGGGAAAATTCAAAAATGGTTGGGAGAATCTGTCAATCACTGTTGGAGGGTGTCGTAAATCGACGCCTTCAAAGAAGACCAAAGATATCTTCGTGGTTTGAGAATTTGTTCAGGATTTTTTGCATGTCAGAGGGTAAGTACAGTAGAAGGAATATAGTAAGTAACATTTTATACAAAAAATGAAGCAATTTTTTCACCAACCTTCAACAATGTTACCAAGTCACTTTAATTACAAACCGAGAGGAACAAATTTTTAAAAAGGTACTATGTCCCTTTTGCAGCCAACATCATATTCTGTAGAACTTTGCAGGAATTATGAATATGTCATGTTTGTCCTATCTGTGTAGTTTAAACATTAGCAGTGTCTTAGTATTCAAATTATGCAAGGAAATCCGTTTACCTTCTAGACTTCACTGTCATACACTATTGAGTGACTGACTGACATTTTTTTTCTTTGGTAATAACTTACATAAAATGAGCTGTAACAGGTACATGAACATTTGTCTACATCTAGAAACCACTACTTGTAATGGCCAAAATTAAATTACTGATTGAAACTTTGTGCAGCACAAAATGTATGACCGATGGGTAAAAGGGTCTGAAAATCAGACTATTACTTAGGAGATTGCAATCACTGAAGTCGATTTGACAATTAATGGTTGTTATTTTCCTTCTAGAAGCCATTTTCAAGCCCTTTCCTCTTCGGGGAAGTTCTAGATTAGTACTGTCTTTCAAATGCTGTTGGAATTTAACCTATTCATTTTTTGGCCTGCAAGTGGGACATAATACCTTTAAGGTCTTATGTATAGTACAATTATTAAAGGTAATACAAAGTTTTGGGAAATTTTGAAAATTGGGTGGATAGTGATTCTTTACAATTTTGATATATTTGGATGCCCATGTGGATGCCCATGTGGATGTCTTATAAGCACTAGAAAATTTAGCTCCTAAAACACTTCTGCTTTCGAGAAAAATTGAATATAAAAACTTACCGGTGCTCCCGGTAAATTTTGATAAATTTCAAATAGCGCCTACGGCTGTACAATGGTAGCTGGAACCATGAAAATCTCAGAATATGTAGTTGAAATATATAATTTCCAAACAGGAATAGCGAATCTGTCGATTTTAGTCAAGAAACATTGTTTTTTTTTAGTGTGTGTGTGTGTGTGTATTGGGTTTTTACAGACGTGTATCAATCAGATATGATTATTTACGTCTGGGACCGACCTTTAAACGTCACCATCCGAAAGACGTGACTCAGTTTCGAACCTGCGTCCTCGGCTGAATCAGTTTGTAACTTCCACTTTTTAGCTGGATTACAGGCGCACGCCACAACGCCTAGTTTTAGCTTAATTAATATCTTGACCTTGAGAGGGAGCTATACAACAAAAGACTTTAGACTCGATTTCAACCGCGACAACGAGCACTGAATATTGTAGGATCGCATGTATGCTTCCAATATGTTCGTTTGAACGAAATTCATGACCCCATACCAAAACTTTGTATTACCTTTAACGCGTATATAGCCAGTGAAGATCGTGGTAAGAGGGGAGACGTGGACAATTTTTTGCTTACCAGGAGTGAGCCATGCTGCTTTATTTTGGAGGTTCTGAAGGGAGTTGAGACCATAATGCGATATACCATAGAGTAGTGATTACATTAATCTACACGAGCCAAAACAAGAGATTTTACAACTGCATGAGAAGAATCTTTATGAACTTCCTTATTCTACTAAGGTTACCGGTACGTAAGTAGAAATTAACAGATTTTGATACTTTGAAACATGATTTGACATATGCTTGTCAAAGGTAACACCTAATATGCAAACAGATAAAGGTAAAATGATATGTTTAACCCTAAAAACCCTAAAAAAAAAAAAAAATACATAACAAATTATCAAAACAACAGATAGCATTTGGATTAACCTGGCTCTTCCAATTTGTTTTTGGTATTATTATAATGGTCTAAAGAATATATGTATTGAAAACTAATGTTTAAATATGAAGAATATATGATTCATGGTTACAATGTGAATTGTATTACCTTAGTTACATAAATTAACCTAAATATGCAAATTTTTGCCACCACCACCAAAATATATAAGTTAAACAAACAAAGAAATACATAACAAATTATCAAAACAACAGATAGCATTCGGATTAACCTGGCTCTTCCAATTTGTTTTTGGTATTATTTTAATGGTTTAAAGAATATATGTATTGAGAACTTATGTTTAAATATGAAGAATATATGATTTATGGTTACAATGTGAATTGTATTACCTTGGTTACATAAATTACCCTAAATATGCAAATTACCTAGTGGCACGGGTTTGAAACCAAGTCGATGCGCTAGTGCCCTTTGGTAAGGCATTAATCCTCATTACCAGGTCCATCGGAGAGGACCTAAAGCCGTCGGCCGTCTGGTTGCTTAACTACAAGCATTTATGCTTTCTTAGTAAGGTAAATTTACCACCACCACCACCACCACCAAAATATATAAGTTAAACAAACAAAGAAATACATAACAAAGAATATATGTATTGAAGAATATATGTATTGAAAACTAATGTTTAAATATGAAGAATATATGATTTATGGATACAATGTGAATTGTATTACCTTAGTTACATAAATTAACCTAAATATCCAAATTTTTCGCGGCGATTGGGGGGGGGGGGGCTTAGAAGCCCCCCCCCCCAGGCTATGCAATTTCAAAATAGCTCAGGCTATAAAGGGTTTAGATGGGACATGCTGTAACTGTTGATGGTACTTTTGAGATGCCGCAATCATGAATTCTGTCTTGTCCTGATTAAGTTTCAGTTTATTAGCCAACACCCATAAGGCCTTAAATAAAAACTTGTTGTATTGCCCTTTAGGTGCCAAAACATGGGTCGGTCGGTCGGTCGGAAAAGTTTTTTTTTTTTAACTTTTTTTTTGTCGCCCTTTTTGGGCCAATATAAATTCAGTTTTGAATGTTTTTTTTTTTTTTTTTTCCCGCCCTCTTTAGGCTGATATTTCTCAGTTTTTAATGCTTTAATACTTGTGTTTCAGAGTCATCATTCCATTCATATCTTTTTCACCTCGTAATAATCATGGTTTGCAATGTTGTGTTGAGACAACACTCTGTGCTTTCCTGCTGACGAAGTTGGTTTTCAACTACCTGTAATATATCCTAAGTCAAACAAAATACATATTTTTTTATTCATTAATAAAAAAAATGCAAAAAAAATGTTTTAAAAAAAAAAAAAATTAAAATGCCGACCGTAGTTTTTCAGATTTTGGGGTCGGTCGCAAAGGGCAATACAACAAGTTTTTATTTTAGGCCTAACTGAACATCAGACATACACTGTTGCAGTTTGCGCAGTGTATTGTTGTATTTATATGAAAAAATTAATGATAGCGGGTGTCCCTCTTTTTTTTTCTTTTGCTGATTGTAGTAAGGGGCCCTGTTTGGACAACTTTGTGGGATGTCCTGTTTCGATATCAAATCAATTATCGATAGAGTAAGAGAGCATTTTCTATTCTATGGCCCTTTTTCTAAATCCCTTCCATGGATTCGATTGGGACCTGCTGGTATCTGATATCAGGTTTGAAACGAGCAAGCTTGACCACACCCATGAGGATTGCCATAGCAACCAATGTTGCTATCATTCCAAGGAGGAGCATCGCAAAAGGGTTGAAGGAAGCCAAATCTGTGGTCACTGGAAAAGATAAAATATGGTAAAACAATTGGATGTGGATTAGATATTTTCACATGCGTATCCATGGGAACAGGGAATAACCCTCCTCCTCACCACCCCTCCTCCCGTCCCATCCACCTTTTAGTAGAAAATTTAAGAGAGGAGATATTCCAATACTTATTTTTGTCCTGTAAAGGATTATCAGAAGTGATAACTTTTTGTGTCTTATGAGAAAAATGTTACTTTTTCAGGTTTTTAAGTGGTTGTTGTTACAAAATAGTACATACCATTAGTAGCCATATCGCTGGTTGAGCGACGGATGCGAATCGGACCATTCCTGATGGTCTGAGTGGACATAACGGACGAAGATCGACGTTTGCGGGCGGGAGGTGGAGGTTCAATGTCTGCGGGGCATTCTGCGTCTCGAAGCAATTGAGCCTCCTCGGCACCACAGACCTTCACTGAACAGTGAATATACACCTGAGAAAAATATATGATGATGCATGCATGCATTAAAATTCATTATTATAATACTTTCTAAACATCCAAACAAAAATGCTTTTAAAGTTTCCGTAATTTTTATAAGGGATGTCCAACCTGATATTAAGTTGGTTGTGAGGTCCCCTCCCTTTTGCCATGTACTACAAATGTAAAAAATATAAATTTATGTTCAGAAATTTTCAACCATTTATTCCCCCTAAATATGATTATTGCAAATATGTTCTTTATACAATACCTGTATGAAACACATCTATTCCGTCACCAATAACTAAGAAAATGAAAGTTTATGAAATTTTATGTATAGAGCAAAATGGAGAGGAGTTCGCAAGGTACCTCACAGTGTTGAAAATTTGTGTTTCACTGAAGACAACTTCAATTTGTTATAACTTTCCTATTCAACTGGATATTGCTGAAATTTTCACTTATTTGGGTGTACTTCAAGGTAGGCAATTATAATCAAAGAAAAAAAAAGGCTTAAAAAAAGTCTAAAATTTGTGTATGTTATACCATAAAGCTCAGTGAAATTGTTCGACACCTCGGTTGCACACAGTTGCCATTCATTTACACGTACATGTAGGTAACTACTGAACCCAAAGACACAGGGCAGATATCACTCAACTAAGACAGAGATTCTACTTTTTATTTTTCTTGTAAAATACTCATGAAATTGGCAAACAAAATTGTAATAAAATCAGGTGTATAAGTTCATGCCATGTAAATAATTTACCTCAGTGTAATCCCCAACAAAGGCAAATGCCTCAAAAGAAAAGCGTTCTTCATTCAATCCAGGGAGAGGATAGAATTCAACTGTGTATTCATCTGGGCAACTGTAGAATCAATTGAAAGCGATGTACTTGAGTTAGGAGGAGTCATAGCCGTGAGAGAACGGCTAGTAGGGAATCATATAATATTGTTTAAGAATAAGAATATTGATAGTAGTAATAATAATGATAATAATAATAACAATAATACTTATAAAATAATGATAACAACAACACAAATTTTTAAAAATTGTACTATGATCTACAACAACGAAAACAACAAAAATTGTACTATGATCTACAACAACGATTAATCTTTATACTACTACTACTGCTTCTTTTATTTTGTTTATCCATATAAAGCCTGGCTTATTTTGTTCCATCGTTTTTTTTTTTCGTCTTCGGGTTACACAAACTTTCGTGAAAAATCCAGGGGGGTGTTTCATAAAGCTGTTGGTAAAGTTACGCATGAATTTACGAATGACTTATATCTGAAAAGCCAAATGGGATGCTAAATCATTTTTAACTGCATCAACCAGGCGCGTACGCAGGATTTTTTGAAGGGGGGGGGGGGGGGGTTAACATTCATAAATCGGGCCGAAAATTTCGCAACGACTCAGCCAGCCGCTGAATAAGCAGGGGGGGGGGGGGGGGTAAGGTCACCTTTTTTAGGTCAGCCATGGGAATATATATATATATATTTTTTTTAATATAAAAAAGGGGGGGTTAGGGGGGTTACGGGGGGGGGGGGGGGTTACATCCAGAAAATTACCAAAGGGGGGTTAACCCCCAACCCCCCCCCCCCCCCCCCCCCCCCCCCCCCCCCCCTGTGTACGTGCCTGGCATCAACTAAAGTTGAACTGTGCAGATGTAGATTAACGTTCTTATTATAACAATCATTTTTATTGCAAAGTAGATTTTTTGCCATAATTTAATTGAGGTTTTTGGAAATATAGTCACATTTTGTTAAAACATCAGGAAAATGTGGGCATCCTATCTGGCACTTCAGATTCATGTCGTTCGTAAAGTCATGCGTAACTTTACGAACAGCTTTATGAAACACCCCCAGTCCTGATTCCCGATCGAGGGTCAGGTATAATGTTCGTGAAATACTTTCAACTCAACTCCAAAGTGATAAGTCCAGTTTACCAGACACCTTCTAAAAAAACTCATGTCTCGGCCCAACACTTTTAATATGGGATACATACATTCGTAACAAAAAAACGCTAGCGATCAACACCTCGTTATTGTTGATATCTTTTCACATTATTTGTTGCTGTTATTTATATCTGTTTGGCAATCAGTCAGGACTGAATATTTTTTGCCACTAAATGTAATGTTTTTTGTATTATATATCTCAAAGAGCATCTTTGAAAACATATCATTATTTGCGTTTAATTTACCCGACCTTTAGTGAATATTAGGGGATATTTTCACAAAATATTTTTTAACCCAACAACATGAAGCACACGACCTTTCGTGATTATGAGGTTATTTTCACGAATGTTTGTGGAACCTGACGTGAACACACAATGGAACGAAAAAAGTCGAGAAGCCTCATCAGCATCAATGCCGATCTTCCTGAGGGCCTTCAAATAAGTATTAACCCAGCAGTAAACCAATTACCCATTAAAACCCGAGTGGCAAATGTGGAGTAATATCTTGCCAAAAGACCTACATGCCGGCCTTGGATCGGGACCTCAACCCTTGGTATAAGAGTCAAGTGAATGAACCACTTTATCATCACTACATGATTTATTTCACGAGGCTCATGAATAGTTCTACTAACCCTTGAGCAATTAGAGAGTGTTGACCAGCAGAATCCATGTCTTGAGTGGTTGTCGCCCAGCAGCGATCAATAAACATACCAACACTTGCTACTGACTCAAGAGTCACAGCAAAGTAGAGGTCATCTCCTTGCAAGACAGTGGTGGCGTCCGAATTCAGCTCAACAAAAGCATTTGTCAGGAATCTTTGCAGGCTCAGACTGAAGTCACCAGAGCCCTTGTCGCTGAAGGACACCTCACCAAGCTGTGGTCTGAAGGATCCACTGACGATTTCCTCTTTCTCGAGGCAACATGCAACCTTAACCTGCATGTGATATTCACGGGTAATTACTATATCGTCGTCCGAGCCAGGCTTGGCGTAAGTGATAACATTGACGAAGGTAATTGTTGTGTTATCCTCCTATAATGACACCAAGTAATATAAAATAAAATAATGTTACGAAAACAAAAATGAAATCCAGTATCGCGGTATATTTTGTTGTAATCACTAGTGCTCGGGGGGGGGGGGGGCCTTTAGTGGTTGAAGCCCCTCTCACGCCCCCCCCCCCCCAACCAAAAAGCAAGAAAAGGAAGGAAAGACGAATGCTCTTTAGAAACCATATGATAAAGTGATGAAAATTGAAAGTCACGCATTCTCCTTCAAGACATAATAGGCAGTTTTGTTGAAGAAAAGTGTCTTAGAACCCACCGTGTGAAAACGTTTGAGGCACAGTGGCTCAGATTCCTAAAAAAAAAAAATCAATTTTGTTGACTTTTCTGCACCTAAAATTTGTTTTGTTGATTGATTTAATGTCAAGTACTATTCTAGCGTAATAAGATGTTGAATAACATTTTATTACCGTGTTATGATATTTCTTAAGTTTACAAAGAAAAAAAGATACTGAAGCGTCAACAATACGGCGGAATCGGATGCAGAGTAAGAAAGATTCCGGGACCTCTTCTATCGGAACTTAAAAGAATAACAAATATATTGTTATTTGGAATGAAAGTAAACAGATTCTATTTAATCCAGCATGTCATGCCTGTCAAAGCAAACTTCAAAGCTCTGCCCCTGGACCACGCAGTTTGTGGCTGCGCTCTACGTACTGGAACCCAAAACATTATGTTTAAACCCCCTCTTCACAAATCCTGCACACGCCCATGGTATTGGTAGCCATGGCAACAGGAGTGATTCGTACCAGTTAACATTTAAGGAATCCTACCTCAATGATGGTGCCACATTGATTGTATTCTGTAGTGAGAGTGATCTCATTAGTGCTATCGTTCTTTACACCGGAGCAGGATCGGTCTTTAAAATGAACAGCAGATGCTTCACCTGAGACTAGCCGTTCATCTATGTTGACGGTCATTGAAGTACTTCCACACTCAACAAATGTCACTGGTATAAGAGAATTGTCAAGAGCAAAGAAAATGTCAATTACGTCACCCTTTTCATAATTATCTCTCAGGTGTCAGAAGTGAAATTTGACGTAATTGATTAGGGTGTGTGTGTGGGTGAGGGTGTGCGTGTGTGTTCATGAAGACGGGTTGTTTGAGCATCCGGGAATGTGGTTAAAGAAATTAAGATTTTTGGAGTGTATTTCGTTTTAGACGCCGTTGAATTATAAGGAGATTTTAAGCAATCTTAAAAGACTTCTCAGATGGTGGAAACAGAAGGACCTCACGGTGTTTAGAAAAATTCATTTATTTAAAACATGTAAATCAAATTACGTTTTTAGCTTCACTAGTGGTTCCAAAATGGGTCATATTGGAAATACAGAAAGAATGTTTTACATTTATTTGGAATAGGAAAGATCAAATTAAGAGATTAATATCATTGTATTAATGTTATAATGAAGTGAGGTTACGAATGACTAATTTTGACTCGTTTTTAAAAACCCAACGTGTAATGTGGGTAGAAAGACTATTGTACGGAGAAAAGCAATGAGATGGAAGCTATACTTTGATTTCTGCTTCAAGATGGTAGGAGGTAGATTTATTTTCTTGTGTAACTACCTGAGTTCTTTTTAGACAAGATAAAAGCATGGGAAGAGTTAGAAGGTTGTAGGAATGTTTCTCAACAACAACGATTTTTTTTTTTTTAAAGAAAATGATCTTTGATGAGGAGTTGTTTACACGCCATATAATATCAGTTCAAGATATTTCTGCTGAAAATGGCATGTGGTCAATATCTAATTTTCAACATTTAGGGTTAAAAGGAAACAAAATTGTTGATGTATGGACTATTGGGGAAGCTATTTTGAGAAGCAGAAAAAAGAATAACTGGAGTTTAGTGGATGTAAAAGCAGTGCAATGCAGTTTAACAGTAATGTGAAGTTCCTCAGAGATTTAATATTGAGGAAGGTTTATGAATACTTAATAGAGAAGTTAGACAATTCCATTATTCTGTCGCTCCAATTTTGAGGAGGCTAGGAACAGTGTGTGGTATATGTGCAGAAGTATGGTCGGGTGGGGTGTGTGTGTGTGTGTGTGTGTCGCATGGTGGGGGGGGGGTAGTAGTGTGTGAATGAGGGTGTTGAGAGTATGTTTAACATAGTGTTCTTGATCATATATATGAACAAGTTTTCTAAACAGTTCTTTTTATTATTGCAATTTAGCTTTCATCCAATGTACAATGTATCCAGTTTTGTTAAGAATGATTTGTACAATATGTATTTGATTTGAGAAAAGATAATACAAAATGTCTTTTTTTAATTTGAGGGTGTTCTTGTGTGTGAGTGTATGTTATTGTGGAGTGTACACGTCTGTTAGTGTGCATCTGTATTGCAGATATGGTGGTTTTGTTTTGGGAAGGTAATTAGGGAGGGAGTTTTAATGTGTGTTATATCATAACTGATTTCATTCATTATTTTTATCAAAACTTATGAATTGTACATGTATTAAATTATTTTTGTTATGTGATTATGATGAGGAAACAAATTGTCTTTTTGTATGATTATTAGTATTGTTTTGATATTGAATGAAACCGAAATAAAAAAATTGCAATTTTTATTTTTCAATTTTTTTAAATATTTATTTATTTTTTATTTTATTTTATTCTTTATAATCCTGGCTAAATCATGAACAGGTATTCGTCCAACACAAGAAAAATATTCAAGAAACTTACGTTTATCTCGACAAAAATCGCCACCGAATCCTGCTGGACATGTGCAATTGCCTTGCTCACAGCTCGCTCCATTGAGACAACGGTTATCACATCCATCTGAAAATATTTAGAGACAACAGTTGCTTTATTAAATGATGTGGCTCCAGAAAGTACGAAGGTAAAGAGCTAATTGTAAAACAATTTTTGTTGTCATTTACGAGTTCGAGTTAGATTTGCTGTCGTTTTTGCTACTTTTCATTTCTGTTGTTAAGATATCAATGTGGGCATGCGTGCATGCCCACATTGATATCTTAACAACAATGGCAAGTGTTCTTAAAGAAAAGCTTGAGTTCTGGCAATGGTAGGAAATTTTTTTTCACAGAATCCCAAAAAACAAAAACACTGAATGTCAATGAATACATATAGATGATGACTTATGCCAAACGATTTTGGTAGAGAATATAAAGGGGCTGAGTAGTGAGCAAAGAAAGATTTATAAGGAAATTTAAGGTAAGTAGGCCCCGCATCATTGGTCACTATGTGCAAATGGTCGTTTTTATTTTACTGGTTCAAACAGTCAACCTACCAAAGGATAAATAATCTAGAATGAATTGTAGCCATGTTCTCTTGACATACGAGGCCCATACCAGAGCTTACAATTAGCTTGAAGGAAACATTTTCTTTTTGTTTTAATAGACATATTTAGATTAAACCTCCCCTACCCCCAAAAAACAATAAACAGGTTGCTGTCCTTTAAACCCAAACATCCAACAATTGTAATCTTACAAGGACTTTCAAAAATCTAATCCTATGGCTCGTAATGTATACGTCCTTTACTCCCGGGGGTCAAATATAAATACTGTGAGATTGGGTGACCAACAAAGCGTCTTTTCAGATTGGATGCCACGCGGCGGCAATAAGAGCTTCAAAAATATCAATTTTGGGCCATTTTCAAGAAAACGGTCACTTTTTTCAAAATGGTTCAAAATCCTGCTGTATGCGCCGGTATACGCGTATAGGTTTTTTTTCTAGCCCTCAGGGCCAGACTGGGGGGGGGGGGAGGGGGTATTAATTTCACATTGGTGAGACGTTTCAGGCCGCCGCCTGGCGCGCCACCTAGCCAGTTATAGCAAAGATGATAGACTGCGGCGCTCTGTCATCTTTGGTTATAGCAGGAAGCTGTAATGAATGGAGATCCCGTCCAAGAGGCCCCTTTGAAGTCATCCGTGGCACCGCGCGTCTTTTGTTTCCCCTACCGTAATCTCCTTAATCCCCCTCCGAAACCCTACAGCTCCCTAGTGGCACTAAGTCCTCCCTTTCCACACACAGCCTAGCCCAGCGAACACGGCGGCTTTTGCTTTGCCGGCCCGTACTTGGGGTGAATAGTGATGATAACTTGACAACTTCTAGCCCTTAATCAATAAATGCGCAAACATATAACACAATTTCACTTAGTTCTTTAGGAAAATAAACCTTTTGACTACCTTCCTAGCAACGTACAAATTTCGGAAATTTTCGGGAAATGTCAGTAATTAGATGAGAAAATCATGATGATGAAAACCTTTCATTCGCTCTAACTCATGATTTCCTTGGTCTATTTCGCTAGTTGAAATGGTCATGTCTTCAGTAGAGCTATCCTAGAACGGCAAAAGCATTTGATGACTAATAGAAAGTTGCATTGGTCATATGTTGTGAATTCTGTATTTTATATGTTATAGCTAAATACATCTTCACTGAACATGACTTAATTTGTCGGTGCCACGCATGGCTTCAAAGCTCGATGCTTGCATATTTTTGCAAAAGAGTGAATAGAGAACTTAGGGAAGCAGATGGCGTTGCGTAACATTTCGTACTATTTGGAATGCCAGAGAGGAACTGTGCATTGATATGGACAGCTGTTGATGGCAATGATGGCTGGAGAGGGTTACATTTCTTTTGTTAAGCCAGGTTAATCTTGAGTAGTTTTCCCTCGGAAAATTCTTTCGAGACGGTATCTCCATTCATTACAGCTTCCTGGTTATAGTGTGGACGACGGCCGCGAGAGGTAGGTAGCATGGCAGGGTATTGCATGCACCCAGAGTCTTTTCTCTTTGCAATACACCTTAGCTAGCTATTAAAGCACTCGCCACGCGCGTGTTGTGTAGGCTTACACTTTCTTTAAATACCCGTTTACAGGGTGTGAATTCGGGGAAAAAACCACACGAAATCCTCATTTAGGGTGTATTTTGGCTTCAGAAGAAATCCTTGTTTAGGGGGTGCCTGGAAAACATGTGGTCACGCAGGAAGCTGTAATGAATGGAGATACCGTCTCGAAAGAATTTTCCGATGGAAAATTATTCAAGATTAACCTGGCTTAACAAAAAGAAATGTAACCCTCTCCAGCCATCATTTCCATCAACAGCTGTCCATATCAATGCACAGTCCCTCTCTGGCATTCCAAATAGTACGAAATGTTACGCAACGCCTCTGCTTCCCTAAGTTCTCTATTCACTCGTTTGCAAAAATATGCAAGCATCGGGCTTTGAAGCCATGCGTGGCACCGACAAATTAAGTCATGTTCATGGAAGATGTATTTAGCTATAACATATAAAATGCAGAATTCACAACATATGACCAATGCAACTTTCTATTAGTCATCAAATGCGTTTTCCGTTCTGGGATAGCTCTACTAAAGACATGGCCATTTTAACCAGCGAAATCGACCAAGGAAATCATGAGTTAGAGCGAATGAAAGATTTTCATAATCATGATTTTCTCGTCTAATTATTGACATTTTCCGAAAATTTCCGAAATTTGTACATAGCTAGGAAGGTAGTCCAAAGGTTTATCTTCCTAAAGAACTAAATGAAATTGTGTTATATGTTTGCGCATTTAATGATTTAGGGCTAGAAGTTGTCAAGTTAGCACCACTATTCACCCAAAGTACGGGCCGGCAAAGCAAAAGCCGCCGTGCTCGCTGGGCTGGGCTGTGTGTGGAAAGGACTTAGTGCTACTAGGGAGCTGTAAGGTTTTGGAGGGGGATTAAGGGGATTACGGTAGGGGAAACAAAAGACGCGCGGTGCCACGGATGACTTCAAAGGGGCCTCTTGGACGGGATCTCCATTCATTACAGCTTCCTGGGTCACGCATGCTATACAGTATTTCTACATGACTGAGACCCCTGGGCCTTTACACCGAGCCTATACACAAAGAGAGTGATACAGTGATTTACTTAGTAGTCCGGCCTTTCAGCCTTAAACAAAAAAGGGGTGGCTTACTTAGTTGATTTCGGGCTACCCAACATTCGTGAATAATCAAGCCCCTAGTAGTTACTATATTCACACAGAGAACCAGTGAATCCAGGTGTGCAATATAGGGACTTTTAGATTTACACGACGAGAACGTGGACCGCCACGTATGACATCATTTTAAGGTAATGTGACGTCCTTTTAAGACACTGCCGGGCACGGCCCAGTGCCTTAACACAATGTCACACGCGGCAGTCCACGCTCTCGTCCTGTAAATCTAAAAGTCCCTATTAGGATGGCAAATTCATGCAGGTAACTTACCCGCAGTCCAACAAAATTAGAGACCAAATATCAATTGCTTTAAATTTTCTCAATGTTTTTTAATTTTTCTAATTCGATTCTAGTTTGATTAATTTTGGTATGATTCAAAACAAATAAATATATAATTGGAAAGTAAAATCCTGCTTTCATCAGAGTGTGCATTTAAATGTACGAAGCAGAATCTGAATGGCTATCGCCAATTTAATGAGCTCGTAATACACAGCTTCTTGTCCTGTAGGATGTTACACTGACTCCTTGCCATTGATCACATTTCATCCCGTTACAGTCAATCCTGCTTTAGTGACCACCTGTCTACAAAGACCGCCCGTCTATATACAAGGACCACATTTTTTGTTTTCCTTGAACATGGTTTCTCATTGAAACATGTATTAAAGGAACCTGTCTACAAAGACCACTTTTTGCGTTTCCCTTGGGCAGCCGCTGTAGATATGGTTTTACTGTACAAAGGAATAGCAATTATGCTAGTGAGCTCCCTAATAACTGAACGTACATTTAACATACATATCCAAATACAGCAGGGATATTGAAACATAATTATAAACAAAATTTTCCTTTTGTTAATACCTATATAGACCTTTATGAATGGGGGAGGGTTATTGGACCACATTTACCCTCCAGATAGCCAATGATATTTTTTCCACAAAACCCAAAACATCTCCATTTTTAAATTTACCAGCAGTCTAGAAAAAGCAGAGTTTGCCAACATAAAATTAGTCTTTTGTTTTTTACCTAAATGACAGAAGTTTCCACTGAAACCCTCGGGGCAAACGCATGTATCGTTCTCACATGTTCCTTCATTGAGACAAGGGTTGGTCGGTTCACATAGAACTGTTGGAAAAATATAAGAAACACAGTGGTTGACAATCAAATCTATATTCCTATGTGGTATATCGAAGTTACAGCAGTGATAAATAAACTGGATGAGACAAACAATTAAAGTATATAGCTTTAAAATTTCTTGTTCCTCCTATAATAATGCTTCCTTTTGTTTTGGAAATTATTACAAAGCTTGCAAAAGCTTGTCTACGCTGGAATCGCTTTTGTGAAACGCCTCCTGGTGTTTTACCACTAGACGACGGAGGCGGATAGAGAGGTATTCTGCTACACCAGATGCAATCAACGACAGACAGCCTCTCAATCTAGTTTATTTGTGCCTTTCTTGCCAAAAATCTTGCCAGGAAAATTCCCGCCACAAATAGGCTATTCACTTTCCTGATTTTCTCTTTGCTTAAAATCTGATAGCTTTATACTTCATTCCAGTTATTGAAATAGAAGTTATTAATGTTATCAATGAAATGAAGAATAATCAGAGTTCTGGTTATAACAGAATTATAATCTCTTGAAAAAATTGCACCATATATTGTTCAACCTTTAGTTCACATTTTTAATATTTGTCTCTAAATACAGGAGTTGCACAATTAGCTAGGGGGGGGGGGGTAAGAGCACAGTTTTTTTTTTGGGGGGTCCAAGATTTGAGGAATTTGTTTTCAACGACTCAGCCAGTCGGTGAATAAGCAGGGGGGGGGGGTAAGAGCACATTTTTTTTTGTTCGTTCAAGAAATTTGAAAATTTGGCCGACCAATATTTCGTTCAGTTAGGAAGAGGGGGAGGTCACTTATTTGGGTAACCTTTTAGCACACACACATCTTTTGTTCTTTTTTTCTTCAGATAATCTGACAATTTGAGTAAAAACGGACTATTATTAATGATAAAAATTGGGAAAAACTGTTCTAATCGATTCCTTAATTCTCCCAACTATATTATTACAATTTAATTGCATTTTAGGTGAATGTAAATCGTCACAAAAGAGTTTCATTCCAGAAGTATCTTAATCTACACAAATTCAAATTACAACAAATTATGAAAAATAGAATTTATTGCTAGAATTTCTTTTTAAAGATAAGCAAATTTATGTATGGCAATATCCCTACCATTAAAAAAACAGGAGTGATAACTAACAAGGGAAAGAGGTAAATTAAAAGAGATCCGTTGCTTTACTCGAATTAGTTTTGGAATGAAACTCTTGTTATTCGAAAATGCGTACTTTACAATAAATAACGATTCTACAGTACCTTTTCCTATCTCACGAAATGTATCTGAGACTTCGAATAACCAACTTCCTTGTACTCCATAGTTACTACCTGTCACAAGATCATCCAAGGTAAGTTCTAGGTGGCGAAGAGTTTTGTCTGGATAATACATCCCAACCTTGATAAAGATAATAAAAATGATAGTAATAATGATCATTATGATGATGAAGATAATGGTGATGATGGTCAGTAATGACAATGATTGTGATGCTGGTGTTGATGATGAACATGGTGGTGATGGTGATGATGATAATGATGTTGGCGTTGATCATAACAATGATGATGGTGATGATGATGGTGACGATGATGAAAACTGATGGGGATATTGATGATAACAACAAGTATTGATGGGACTCCTTGTGTTATCCATTAAATAACATCATGTTATTAGCAAGATTTGAAAGACATCCTACAATCCAGTGTTAAATCAAAATCTCGTAGAAATGAGTAATGACAGTTTTTTTAATGATATATTTCATTTTAAACGTCAGATGCAATCTTAAAGATACTCTGTCCCTTTTGCAGACAACATCAAATTCTGTAGAACTTTGCAGGAATTATGAATATGTCATGTATGCCCTATCTGTGAAATTCAAACGTTAGCAGTGTCCTAATATTCAAATTATGCAAGGAAACCTGTTTACTTGCTAGACTTCACTGACAGACACTATTGAGTAACTGACTGGCTTTTCTTCTTCTTTGGTAATAACATTCATAAAATGAGCTGTAAAGGGTACATGAGCATTTGTCTACATCAATAACCCACTTATTGTAATGGTCAAAATTGAACTGATTGCATTTTTGCGCAGCATAAAACCTACGACCATTCCGTACAATTGTCGGAAAATCAAACTATTACTTACTGGCTCTATCAAGCGCGTACTGGTACGCAGGATTTTTTCAAGGAGGGGGGGGGGGGGGGGGCCGGGGGGGGGGGGAAGGTGAGAGGACATATGTTTTTCTTTCCTTTTTAGTCCCAAAGATTTCGCGACGACTCAGCCAGTCGCTGAATTAGGGGCGGGAGGGGGAGGGGGGGGGGGGGGTAAGAGGACACCGACATCATCATACAAGTACAACTAAGATAACATATTGCAATTTATAGAGCTTAAGTTTATGCATTATCATCAATAAATTGTTTTTTTTTTTTAAAGTCTGATTATGTATAATATTTTAGGCATCCCCTGATGCATTTCCTGCAGTCGGAAGAAAAGACTTACGTGTTATAGGAATTTCACATTCCTTTTTTTAACTTCCAGAGGTGCAGCAGGGGAAGCCAAATTTATTATTTCATACTTTGTATCCTATGTGTAATTCTATTGTGCCTTCTATTGTATGTTTGAAATGCCAAATAAATAATAATAATAATAATAATAATAAATGCCAATGAGAAGTCAATAAAAGTTGTTCTCGCATAACACCTAATACCTTCCTTATCTAAGTGTTCTTACAGCATGTTTGTCAAGGTGGGAACTGCATCAGTAACGTAACACTTCGCTTTATATGGTTTACATCGAGTATAGCGGGAGAACTGAGCATGTCAGCTTTGCACGTTCCCGTCTTTTCCAGGCTTTTCATAACAACCGATGTCACCGCGATAGGGCGTAAATCCCCATTCGTGTGGGGCGATTGTTCTTAGGTACTGGCGTAAACACGGTCGCTTTCCAACAGGCAGGTACTACTCTTTCGGAGATCGACATCTAGAATATCATAGAGTATATGGGACGTGAGTTGGAATGAGCATGTTTTCAGTACTCGTCCATTCACACCGTGAGGCCCCATCTGTGCCTTTCGAGGGTAAATGAACTTGAACCGTTTGCGAACATCCGATTCATGGATCACAAAAGGCTCGCAGTCATTTTTATTCTGTTACGCAACGGTGTTAGTTGTTCGTTGAGCTCTTCTTGACGATCTTGGTTTTCGAAGTGGTAGAAACCCGGCCCCCCCCCCCCCACTCAGGTTTCAAAATGACCGCATGCGTGTTGCCAAAATGTCCTTTTCGTAACAAAAGAAAAAGGTCGAGCCGTATTGACTTTACACACCGGACTGTTGCTGAAAAGGGGGGGGGGGGGGGTCGGTTGGAACACGCATATGCGTACCCTAAATAACACTGAGTGGGGGGCCGGGGGTAGAAAGGATGAATTATGTTCATTTGCCTTTCCTTTTGTAATCTCTTCGTGCTCGAAAGTGTTTCCTTGCTTTTTGTTGGAAAATTCCGTCAATGCTTCTAAGGATTTCCATGCATTCCCGGGATTATTTGTCATTAAGCACCGTTCCAGCTTTTATCTGTGTTTTCATTTTGCTTCACTGACTTGTCTTTTTTTATTTATCTCGTCAGTTCTTTCATCCGATTATGATTTCCATTCTTAAACTCTTTTTCTGTATGGCTGCTTTTATCTTTCTATTAAACCAGGGCTTAGTCGAAGGTGTAAGTCTTCACAGAAAGTGACATAACTATTTATTGTATCTGTTAGTTCATATTTGTCATCACATTCGTCACGAAATACGTCTGAATCAGTGATATCAAATGCGACTTGTAGCATTACACTCCACTAATTGTCCCACTCTTTTATCACCCTTTCCTTGGCTTTTAACGTTTAATCTTTTTATCTGTACCTAATTGGCATAAGATGGACAGCATGGGGATCTGATGCACCAATCCCATGTCGAATAAGAGACTTGTAGGCATCCCTAACTGAGCAGTAACATTTATCTAAAATGTTTTCTCCCCTAATTGTTGCTATATCAACATATTGGTAATAATGGGGCATAACAGTTTCCAAGGCATTTTGTTTATCTGAGGTCGGAGGTATATAAACTAAAAGTACATTGACTTGAGGGAATTTCTCTGGCAGATGAAAAGGGGCGAAATGAAACACACATCAGTTCGATGTCTCTTCTTCTTTTCCTGTTGAAGTACAGGCCATCATGTTGTCGGTGTATCTTCGTACTTTAATGTTGTGCAGATCTAATCTATATGTGCGGTTAACAAGAACAGGCGCAATCCTAGCGCAACAGTGTTTTCTGCATCTCAGTCTCATATGCTGGACCAACCATCTGGAACACTCTACCACAACACCTCCGCCTATGTAGTACAGAAGACACTTTCCAAAAGAAACTTAAAACCCAACTCTTTCCATCTTGAGTTCATAATGTACGTTTTGAGTATCTAAATTTATTTTCGTTCATAATATCTTAATTACTGTTCCTTGTTTGATTGCTATGATTTTTATGTTTCTTTTCTGTTATAATAGCGCTCTGATCAGTTTGTCTGTAATAGCACTCAAGAAGAATCAATTATCATTATTATTATTATTAAAGCTGGCTACTGAGGTACAAGCGATTGTACTTGCAGGGAGAACGACGAGCATATGGGACATGCATCTTCTTTTGATTGCCACAAAGAGAAGTTGAGGCCTTTGAAGTATTGTGCAGCTGGTACATCAACCAAGGAGTTGAGCATACTTACGGTACATCATTATCAGCTTGTACTGAGCTCGCCTTTCTTCAAGGATGGGCCACTGCAGACGAAGGAGCATGTTGGTGACACTGCTTGTGCGAGGGTGGTCTCCTATGGAAAACCTGGTGTACTGCCATTGCACCATCTCTAGCCTCCGAATATTATTCGCATCCGTATTCCAGGACAGGTCTGAGGAGAGCCTTGTAGCATAGCACCTTGATGTTTCTTGGGCCGGAGCTCACGTTGTGTTGCAAGAAGGCACGGGTGGAGTTTGCCTTCTTGGCAACCATGCTTATATGGTGATTCCAGCTCAGGTTTTGCTGTAGACCAAGATACTTGGCAGAGCTGATATTTTCTAGTGATTGACCATGGATTGAGTATGTCTTGTTGATTGGGGTCCTCTTTTTAGTGACTGAGATGGTCTGAAATTTCTGAGGATTAAATGTCATCAGCCAGTCTGATTTCCACTGCTGCAGGGAGTTGAGATCTTCTCGAAGTTTTTTCTGCATCATCCTTAAAGCAAGTCTTGCGGTAGAGGAGACATGTCATCTGCAAACAATCTGGTAATTGATTGGGAAGATACACTATAGGGTAGGTTGTTGATGTAAAGTAGGAAGGGGAGCGGGCCGAGGACACTACCTTGCGGTACCCCTGATGAGACTGAGACAGTGTCTGAGGTACATCCATTGAGAACTAATTTCTGTGTTCCGTTGTGGAGGAAATCTTGTATCCAGCTCAGTGTAGACTGATAGATGCCATAGAATTTAAGTTTGTATAGAAGTCGATGGTGAGGGACGTTGTCGAAAACCTTTGAGAAATCTAACAAAATCATGTCGTGCTGTTCGCCTCTGTCTAGTCCCTTGGCAAGGTCGTCACAGGTGAGGATGAATTCGGTGATACATGAACGACGTTTGCGAAATCCATGCTGGGCATTTGAAAGGATGTTATTTTCATCAAGGTGACTCACGGTGCAGCTGCAGATGATATGCTCCAAGATTTTGCATGGAATAGATGTCAGAGAAATGGGGCTATAATTCTGTGGATTGCTCCTATATCCTTTCTTTAACACATGATCAATATTTGCCATCCTCCAGTCATGTGGAACAACGCCTTGTTCAACAGACGCTTTAAATAATGTTGTAAGTACTGGGGTGACTTCATCAGCAAGTACCTTGCGAGTAACCCAGCCGACATTCAGTCCGGGCCTGTTGCTTTGTGGGGATCAAGTCCAGACAACAGTTTGTTGACACCAGCTGGAGAGATGTCAATGTCTTCCATGGAGGAATAAGGAATATCACCTTTGTCTGGGATATTAGTTGAGAACTCATCTTTGGTAAATATTGATGCAAACTGTTTGTTGATGGTGTCTGCCTTGGAGGTGCAGTCATATTGGATGATTTCTCCAGTTGGATACCATTCTTACTGCCAATGAATGACCAGAACTGTTTCGGGTTGCATTTGGACTGATGTTCCTGATGTAGTCATTGCATGCTTGTTTGCATGCAGATCTTGACTATTTTTCAGGGCTAGGTACTTCTCTTCCAAATAATGATCCAATCTTATGGAGTAGAAGCCATTTATCGCAATGTTGTTGAATGGCCAGGTTTCTGTCATACATACAAGACTTGAGTTTCTGTATTCATGATCATTACTCACGTTTGCTTGCAGTTCGTCGATTTTGTTCGTAATTGATCTTCAGTACTA